CCCTGATAAATGGACCATTTAAAAACTAGAATAAAGATTTTGTTGCTTAAAATGACTTCTAAAATTTGCTAAATGTAGATATCAAATCATTGTGATAGTATAGCTATAGGCCAGCTACTATTTATTAGGTAATTGACCTCTTTATTTTAGAACTGCTTAGGAAATGAGGGGTAAGAATTCAGACAATGGAACTGAATTCTAAATTATGCTCTCCAGACATTCTATGTTTCCATTACACAATTCTAATCTTACTGAACCCACCGTCTTTATAAACATATGGAAATCCATTTAATTTTGACAGTTTTACTCCCTATACAAAATAAAATATGCCATGTCTGTTTATGAGTGTGTGTGGTGCGCCTTGGTGTCTGGTGATGAAGTGATGAGGGAACTGTGGGTATTCACCTTGTTTTCGCAAGATTCTATTGGATGGTAATGTATGGGCACAGCATGGGACTCATCTGTGTGTGGTGAACTTGCTGCTGTGTGTAATGCACCGCTGAACTTCTTGGTTTTCTTATTTGAGTCAGAGCATCCTGCATCTGTAGACTTAAGCAACTGCCCTTCAAAAGTATTTGGAAGATTTTGTACTGTCCCCAGCCTGCACAGGCTTCTTCTCTTGTTATTCCCTGAAAAGGGCAGTATGCCCTCAATTTGCACAGCATTTCCATTATATTAAGATTATAAGTCATCAAGATATGATTTTTAGAAATCAAAGTTGAAGGCAAATAATGGACCATTTAACATGAAGGCTTGGACTCGGTATTTACAGGAGTCCTCGGGCCAAATCCCCTCTGGATGCCAAGAGTTGACACTATTTCCTGGAAGATTACTAAGTCTGCTGTCAATCCCTATTCCAGAAGGAAGCTGTAGAGGAGACCTAACAGACATTATTTGGCCTTACAAAATGTACTTGTGGGCTTTTGTATCCATTTGAGAGCTTGTGTGGGTTTGTAGAGAACTGTGGATTACTTGAAGAGCCCTGTTTTCAGACTCCCAGGTGACTCCAAGGGAAGTGTTGTTCTGTCTCTGGGCTCTCACATTGTGAGCCAGTGTCCCTTCTGAAGGCTAGGCTTTGCCTCATTTGTTTCTTTGTAGGTTTTGTTTATGATTCTGAAGTAGGCTAGCTAGGAATAGGGAAAAGAGAGGCAAACTACATGGTGACCGGAGGCAGCAACCACAGAGCTGTGTGATACAGCTGAGTATGTTGCGATTGTTCAAACCAAGACTTTCCAAACTGACTGGGACCAACACAACTGGCCAAGTCCTCCCCCCTCAACTGTTCTATCTATTTCCAGTACGGTACCTTATTGCTAGCCTTCCAGAACTGGATGTTCCCATCATGCATCTGATGTGATGACACACCCTAAGCTCTATTTAAGGAGAGAAAAGTATATTAAACCCTATTCCAGGAAAACCCTACCTCTTTCCTGGAATTCCTCACCTTATTTCATGAATAACCCTCCCTTCTATAAATGTTTGTCTATAAGGCCAAGTGGTCCAAAGTGCCTGGTGCTGCTACATTCTCCTAAGAAGTCTTCACTTTCTCTTCGGGGCTTACGTTTGCTCTGTAAGGGGATTTCCTCCCTATTTTAATTCTTTGTTCCCCGCTCCCCTGTGAATTGCTTCTCTGATCAGGAAGTGGGAAGCACTAGACAGAGGTGTCAGTTTAGTCCCTGAGACTTTTCTAGTCATCACTGGCTACAGAAACTTTGCTCTTTAAAATGTCCTTGTGTACGGTGATAAAATGCTGTCTAGAATCCCAAACACGGGGAAACTGTTAAGTGCCTTATAGAGGAAGTTTATATGTTAGGCTCTGTGTAAACATAACTTCACACATGCATGATGGGCTGTGAGTTCAGTGGAAATTTGTCTGAGATATGTATTCAACAGGACATCCTTCAAGAGAAACATATGTGGAGTAGGTTTATGTATTGATTTGTTGGCTGACGTTTTTCAACCAGAGGTCTACAGCAACACTATGGTAGTCATGGAGACTTTGCAGAGTGTACCATGATGAATGATGAGAGCCACCATACTCATTTCTTTTTACTTTTTTATTCCCATGGTGACAGTCACATTCTGGTCTCAAGTCAAAGCTGATGGGGCTGTGTGTATTTATGCACATCTCTGTGTGTATTTATACACATATATGCACATCATCTCTGTGTATATTTAAGCTGTGGATTGCTGGTATCAATCTACAATACTGATTTTGCTTTGGAGAAAATTGTGTGTGTGTGTGCGTGCACATATGTGTGTGTGTTTGTATAAATAAAGCAGTTTCCCCCATTTTAAAACCAAAAGTCTTCCTAGGTGATGTTACCTATGATATTTCTATGAAGTCATGTTTGTATTTCACATCTTTGATCTAGAACAGAGCCCTCTTTTATTTCTTACATTCTTTAGAACGGAACTTTCTGAGAATCCTACTTAAGGTTTGCTCATTCAAGGTGTTGTGGAAGCGATAAGGAGGATGGTCCTGAGAAAAGAGAAATTAATCCTATCTTCGGGGCTACAATTGTTTTTGTTGCTGTTTTTGTTATTGTTATTTATGATTCACCCAATAGCCTCAGCTATTCCCGAAGATGCTACATTCATCTCTCTGGCAGTTGTAGCTATTCGGCTACTCAGTCACATTTGGTGCTTCAAGCAGGTAGATGTTAGTGAGCTGCTCTCGTTCCTTCCTGGACTGTACTTGCCTTTTGTAACAGAGTGACAAAGTCCCTGAGATTAGGTGGGGCAATACAACCTCCAGACGTCCAATTGAATATGTTCAGCTACCTAGGCACAGTCTCTTCAACCCACATATGCTTCTCTAGAACCTCATCTGTCACCGAACTGCCTATTTTTCTGTTTCACGTTCTTATTCCCGGAAGGTTATCTGCCGATGGAATTAAGCCCCTGTTCTGCCACAGGTGGGTGTTTGGGTTGACCTTTCAAATGGAACTGCTTTTGTCAGAACTTTCTGTACAGAGAAGAAAGCATAATGCCGTGTTCTCAGTGAAAGACAGTGTCACCATGTGTCTCCAAGTGAACGAGGGCAAGGCGAAGCCTTTGAAAGGAATCCACCCAGCCAGCAACCTCTTCAGCACTGCGAAAAGACCATACTGTCAGTCTCAACTAGTTCCTGTGATATTGGCTCTCTTTATAGAAAATAGAAACCAGAGGGAATAAAAACGACGAAGACTCTGTGGGCTAATAAGGAGAAAGGACTCTTGAATGGTTCGGCAATTGTTTCATGCTTTTTAAACCCAAGTGCCCACCCATAAATTGGGGGAATTTTATCATTTCAGTATTACTACTGTAAACCAAGCTTTGTCTGTTGATCTAACATCAGAATTAACTCCAATAATCAATTTCTATCCTGATAAACAGAAAATTGCATAAGCTAAGTGATATCCATGGGTGTTGAACTAATGAATATCTTTTCTTGGGTAAATAATTGATTTTCTTTGTATTGGTTCACTGTTCTAGCATAGATAACCCCCAGCCCATTCAGCTCTTTCATTTTATGACACTGTGATTCTTTTTTCCCTCTAGGAACAATGAGCAACATATTTTCCTTACTGAAAGTCATCTTTAAATTACATCCTTAACTGTGGGATGAGACTGAGTTTTAATCTCTCATTCAAATCTCTGTTCTGAATTACAGAACGTAAATGTTTTAAAGCATAAATTCTCGTATTGATTTCCTTCCTGTATTTTTTCCTTCTGCTATTAGCCTTCCTCTCAATAGATGGTGCTCTTTTCTCAGAGACATATTCCTTACCCAAAGATCAGAGAAATCAGTTTTACTTTAAACAATCATTAATTAAAGAAATCAGACAAGCAATTTGCAGTACCTTGGGAACATAATGAGGGAAATGATACTTCAATGACTTGAGCGCTCTGTTGAAGCCTGTGACATGTGTGTTGAGGAGGTAAAGCAAATGTTGTAACTAAACATGAAAATGCCATGCTTATGATGCCACATAAGAAAGACTCAAATCAGGAGCCATTTTAAAGTACTGGGATATCCATCTACTTTAGCAAAAGTGGATAGATGAGTATCCCACATTCACAGGCAGGATTCAAGCATGTAACTCAATACCAACACACCCAGCATCACTCTCAGTACCGAGACCTTGCTCAGTCTTTGCAGAATTCATCTAGAACACCCCAAACAACAGAAAGCAGACCTCAAACTCTTTCGAAGTAAGATTGAGACACTTTCCTCACAAGACCATCCTGAACAATTGCCAGGAATACATAATGTTGCTGCTTTTATTATCACTGATTGACTCCCAGGTTTGCAAGTCATGAAAAAATGGTTGTGCCCTGTAGATGCTCTGAGCTACCCAACAATTCCAGATGCCACTCAGGACTCCCTGAGCAGATCTACAGGGAGAAAGTGCAAACTAGGCTAAACATCACAACAGCATGCTTGCTATATCCAAGCCACCCTGCCCTGAAAAGCTGCCAGGAAAACTCCCTCCACTTGGGCTGGGGCAGCCTCAGGATGGAAGAAGAGTCAGATAAGGACTCCCTGAACACCAGAGAATGGGTGGGGCTGTGGTCCAGCCTAAACCAGCAGGTCTAAGAAAGTTAGTAAGTTCGTTCATCTCTTTAACCTACTGAGAAGCCTCTGCCTTTCACTTAGGGAAAGCTAACCAGATTTTTTTCCCACAGTTCACTGTTCTTATAACTCATGCAGAGGGATGATTGACTCTAAGACCCTCTTAACTTAGATAAGAGGGGGATCTAAGATGGAGCGCCCCCTCCCCCAGACAATATCTAAAAGCTTTACCCAAAAGAACTTCTTGGTTTTGGAATTTTGAACACTGCTTTATCAAGGGAGTGAGAAAAACCCAGAAAAGTAAAATTTCACACACAAACAGCAAGTGCTCTATTCAAGTCACCCCTTCTTGGCACCCTGTTTGCTTTTCTTCTGTCACTCACAGACTTTGTCTCCTTCCCACACACCCCCGGTGGATCTCAGCGCTCAGGGCATTCCTTACCTGACAATCACATACATGACCAGGAAGTTTCCAAAGAGGCCCACTACGCACACGATAGAGTAGAGGGCCATAATGGTGATGGCTGTGACCATAGAAGGACTGCCAGACGAAGAACACCGGCTGTCGCTCCCGCCAAGCCCGGTGCGGTTCAGACCACATAGGTCGGATTGGTTGCCATCTACATGGGACGAGTTGAGCCAGGAGGCAGGTGCTGGGGAGCAACTCCCTGGAGCCAAGGGGTCAGAACAGTCGCTGGTGTTCCCAGAGCCGATGCGGCTGTCCATGGTGCTGAAGACCTGCTGCGGACTCGATGCGGGCAGTAACTGAGAGCACCAAGACTTTTTGGGTTTCAGGATCCCCAGCCTCTTCCTCTCCCAGCTGCCTCAGCTCCGTCAGTTTCTTACACAGACCAGCCCTGGCGGAACCGGAGAAGAGCGTCAGCCAGAAGGGAACGGCTGAGCGTCTGATAGTCTCCTCTACTTGCGTCCCCCTCCCACCTTTGAAGCACAGGGAGCCCTGTCCTTAGCATCCCAAAGCACTGTTCACTGTGTGGAAAGGAGGGAGCGCGCTGTGAGGAATCCAGAGGCTGGAGAGGAGGGAGGAGAGAGAAGGGGTGGATTTTGCGCAAAGCAACTCTGAGAGTCAGTCTCCCCTGTCTTCATGCGCTTCCGAGCAAAACGAGTGGAAAGTGGGGTAGGAAGGGGCAGAAACAGGGACATCACAGAGAATGGTAAGAAGAGAGGCAGGAAAGTTTCTTTGCAACGAGGATGCTTAAGGTAGGGGGTTCATTGCCTATTTTTCCAACACTTTCTTTTCCTTTTCTAAGCAGCCAGAAAAGTCACTGATCTGTTATAATCTCAACGACCCCCTAGACCCCAGTGCTCTTCCCATTCAACTCCCCAATGCAATTATTTGGGATGGAGACCAACTAATGCTGTTCTGTACTTAGATTCCCATATCCCATACATGCCAGTTTCTCAAATTTTCAACCCTGCAAAGCTATTTAAAGCAACAATGGTCTCTTATTGATAAAGAGAAACTTGGTGAAGCAAGCCTGTTTCTTGTTGATAAATTGATAAATTCCTTCAATTTATCATGCATCAGATGGCCTATTTGCAGCTGAATTTGTTTCAGTGAAGCAGAGGCACATGAGAACATGTTACAGAAATGAGGGAGGAGGGGTGATACCCAGTCAAATCTACTCATGAGTACACCGCCTCTCCTAGCTTCACTCTCATGGATCTGCTTAGAAAGATTTATGCTTTAGTGTTACGCTTCCTCCATAGTCACATAGCCTGCTTCCTGGGAGCAGGCTACCGAACCAAACAGAAATTTTTACCATTTTATTCTTCCTATTGTAGAGATTTCAAAAACAGCCATGTGGCTCCTTTAAGCAAACAAGACCCTGGAGGAACAAGGATTCACTTAAAGTTTTTGATCTTATGTCCAAGCTCACAGGTGCAGGTGTTTCTGAAGGAATACATGTTTAAATTGAACGGTAGTGTGTTTTCTTCTTTTCATCCCTGTGTACACATATGGTTGTGCATAGCCAGAGTTTTTAATTATCAACATTGAAATTAATGGAAAGTTTAACTGTATTCTTATAGACTCTTCCTATAAGGAACATGTAATTCCAATTTTATTTTTTGACCTCATCTTGAAAGCAGATAACTCACAGCTAAACTATTAATCATAGACTTGTGGACAATGTTCAGCATTATTTTTACACTTTTCCATTAAATGGTATAATTTCAGAAGTAGTATAGATAAGGTTTCCCAGTGGATGCTCAAATACCTGCAGATACTACATTCTTCTAGGAATAAATGTGTAGATTCATGTGGTTGACCTGAAATCTGTGTGGAACTCATTCACCAGTTTCCTGTGAATTCACAGAATCATCCTCACTCCCTTCATGGGAAAGACAGGTCAGCACATGGAAAGTTTTGCTGCCTTTGCTGTCAGATGGTTCTGTGATATAGTCCTGTCGTCTCCAGTAGTGTGAGTCTGAATATGTTGCTTTACCTTATTGAGTCATAATTTTCTTCTAGGAGTAAGAACCTGAACTTTATTCAACCATATGTTCTCATCTAAGATCAATATTTCCCTTCTATTTCTGATTCTCGTGCTTCACAGAGAGTAATTATCATCCTTCGACTACTACCGATGCAATATTTTCTGAACACCATTTCATGTCTGCATCTATCTGTCTGTCTGTCTATCTATCTATCTTCCTACTTATTTTTTGTATGTGTTATTCATTCAATATTTATTTTGAGAAAATGCAGACAAAAATTTTCTAAATACAAATTTTAGATTAGCCTTGATAGGTTTATTGAAAAGTTATATGGAAATCATTTCATACCACTAAATAGACTATGAGAGAACCCCTAGTTCAACTTCTGTTATTCATTAGTTTTCTCCATAATTGCTCATTTCCTTCCAGAACGATCTAAAGGTCTTCAGGGAAGCTTAAATCTCCCATAAGCAGAGGCAGACTATCCAAAAATGACTCAGCAAACTGATATACTAAATATTTTATATTGCTGGATTACCCACGAGACTTTTAATTTCCAAGAGCCATAGTATGTTGTCTGTGGGAATATTTACCTTTTCACTGATGTTTCTTGCTGAATCTTGGTTTTTTTATTTGAATCAAGAACAATTTATTACCTAGTGGTCTAGATTTAATTTATACAATAAAACTCATATTAGAAAACACTTTGTTTGAAATTGTCTGCTTCACAGAAATGCATTTTGTCATCATGTGGATAGATACAACAATGAGCTAAAAGTTGCTCCTCTTTCTTGGATTTCAATGTCTATTGGCTTTAGGTAATCGTATGATAGCCATCAACGCTCACTCATTTTCATAGTTGAGTCTTGAGAATTTTTGAGAATGGTGACTAAAGAACACATGATTAACAGCTGTTAATAAAAGCCAGAATCATAGGTATAATATATGGACTAATTACAGTGGCTAGAAACTCAGAAAAGCAAGGGCATACTGGGCTTCATCAAGAGAGTGTGCGATGTGTTTTGTTGCTGCATTTTACTACTGACATTCTCATGTACACAGCGAAGAAGAAGGCAGTTGAGTCTGATACAATATTATTTTAGACTATTGGAATACTACATGATCCTTCAATTAAACGGAGTAAGATTCCTTGATTTAGAGTTTACAAAATAAAAAGTTAAATTAAAAATAAAAACTCTTCACCAATTTCCATGTGGTAAACCTAAGAGGATACTTGAAGTACAGTCAGTAAAATCCCTGAACTTTAAATTTATAAAGTAACCCCAAATCCAGACTCTACTGTCTATTTTATTGAGACTTACATGCTTTATGCTTCCTGTTAATTGGTTCCTCTTGTGTAAAATAAAGAATGAGAATCAGCTACAAAGCAGTGTTCCAAGATTACATGTATTTAAAAGAGCATGCCCTTTGTCTTCAAGTTCATTGTCAAGAAGAATTCTTGGAGGTATTATATAATCTTTAATGGCACAAACTCATCCTTATGAGTTTTATCTTTTTAAAAGCCTGAATGTTCGAACAACAGCTTGACTGTCAACCTTTCAAATAATTATTATAAACAACTAGCTTAAATAATTAATTCATAGGTTTGCATGCCTTTCTTTGCATCTGGAAGCTCAGTTTTAAAAAAGACTTGGGTTTTAATTTTCAGTCTCTTATCACTTTATTCTTGACAGTGGTTAGTTACTCTTTATCAGTTTCACTTAAAAGTTATTGAGAACTCAGGAAGCTTCTGTTTATGCAGACATTGTGGCTTGAATGTAAAATATACCACACCGGCTCAGGTGTTACAACACTTGGTCCTCTGCTGTTGGTATTGTAGACCCTGTAGCAGGCGAAGCTTTGCTGAAGGAAATGGGTCACTGGTGGGTGGAGGGGTAGTCCCTGAGATTTTGTAGCCCAGTTCCATTTTGTGTTTATGCACTGATACTTTGTTGAAGTTGCTATGTGAGCAACTGCTTCACTCCCGACTACCATGCCTTCCCTGTCATGTACCACTGTATCCTCTACCACTCTGAGTCATAATAAACACCTTCCTTACAATTTGCATCTTACTAGGTACTTGGTTGCAGTAACTGCAAAGTACTTAGTAGGTTGTCTTTATTATAATTCATCACATTAGAAGTTGAAACCGAGAAATTTAGAAAACCACATTTCTTTATCAACTTAGTAAAGTTAACAATACAAATATTACACAGAAAAATAAGTAATTTTGTTTATTTTAAGGAATATCTTCCCCCATTTTTTTAAGTCAAAAAAAAAAAAATAAAATTAGTTGAAAGAGTGGCACCATGGCTGAGCCATTCCTTAACTGTATGGTTCTGAAGTAGATAGTAGGTAGGTTCTCATACATGGATGATTCTGTCTCAATCAGACACATCATGGGTGGTTGAAATTTACAAGGGAAACTGAAGAATGTTTGCATTTACTCAGCTATGTGATTAGAAAGAGGAGTACATTTTAGCAATCTTTAGAATTGTGACTTTTCTCCTTTGGTAAGCCATGACCTCATGATGATATACAGATTATTAAAAATGGGTTAAATCAATATGTGAGAGTTAGCCAATAAGAGGCTAGATATAATGGTCAAACAGTCATTAAAAGAATACAGTTTCCATATAATTATTTCGGGTAAAGCTAGTCGTGTCGGAGCCAGGATCCTGACGGAAATGCAGCCCGCCATTCCTTATTACTACACTCAGTTAGTACCATGTCTTCCTGTCTTAAAGGGAAGTTGGGTTATGAGAATTGAAGACACACCAATGCTTCTTAGATCTCGAGGTACTTACAGATTCATCAGCTGCTCCCCTATTGTGAGTGAGTAGTCTATTTAATCACGACTTTGTGACATTGCCTCAAGGTCATTTGGGGCTATCAGTTCATGGCATCTTATCACTTCCTGAATGCCTGCTATACATGCTATCCATACATGCTTGTTAATACCACTACAGGCTGTGAAGGAGGAAGTCTCAATATTATGATACTGTCAAGCTCTCTCTCTCTTTTTTTAATTTCCAATTTCCTCTTTGATAATCAATGCTTTCAGTCATACTGGAGGTGAGAGACTCACCTTCTCCATTTTAAATCGAATATTGACCCAACATATGATTCTGAGTCAGTGTAGACATCTAGCTTTCAGTCCTTCTTCAAATAAAAATAGTGTCCCATGGGAAAAAATGTACATGGTTCCTCCTCCAGCTGTGACAGCCACACAAGTACTTTTTCTTGTGAGTGGCAATCCTCTGTGGCTTGTGGTGGGCGAAGTGTTCTATGTATATTTCCTGTTTTCACACAGGATGTCAAAGTTCAGGATCTCTGTGTGTATTTGTGTGTCTGTAATGCATATATAGGTAGTCTGTGCACACATGATACAAGTGTGATTATGCAGAGGCCAGAGGAGGATGTTGAGTGTTCTCTCTTAGAGCTCTCTGCTTTATTCTCCTGAGATAGTTTTTCACAGACTCTGAAGCTATGCTGGAGCTAAAAAGTCCCAGCAATCCTTCTATACCCGAGCTCCACAGTGCTGGGTGAAGCTACTGTCCATTTTCTTGAG